GAACATTATGTACTTCGTAAGCATAATTAGATATTTCCTTATGCTTAGCTGCAAAATAGAATATCATGAATTTGTGAAGTTGGCTAAATAGGATATCATAACTCAGTCAGTCACAGCCTGTGACTCACAGGCATGGTCACCATTAAAGGAAATATCGGAGACGGCTGTTACTGCTGTTCCCGATATTCTCTGTTCATTGAATATTGCTGTGCCGAATCATGGGTGCGTGGATTAGAAAATCATCAGGTCCCACCTCCCACTCCCATACATACAAAACCTTACCACTTCATGAGAATAAAATATGTCCTTTCACTTAAACTCAGGCCAATTGACAACGCCGCGGGGAATCAAAAGACACAAAGGCAGGTATTTTGCTTTGTTGAAATATCGAAATCCCAGATGTTGTACTGGTACTAGACCAGCGGGAAGACCACCTTAAAGATGGAAGGATAGCTGGCAGTCAACATCGCAGGAAATAGTGAATAGAATCTTCATCTCTGCTACTCGCAGCATGCACTTTGTTTTGTCTGTTTCCTATCATATCTCTATCCCGTATGTGATATAGGGTCTCACGCATGTTTTGTATATTTTTAATTTGCTCTCTGTTCACATGTATTGATTTGCCCATGCGATTTGCCTAAGGCATTCTGATACTGCCGCAGCTTTATTGATTTGGCTTCTTAGGTCCTTGACTGGGTCATGACTACTTGACAGGTCTACGCCAAGGTATTTAAATTGTAATACTTGTTCTATAATTTTGTCTTCGATAGCAAGTTTACATCCAACAGGTTCCCTGGCGATTGCCATACTCTTTGTTTTGTTAATAGAGATTGTCATGTTGAGCTGTTGGCTGATTTGGTGAAATCTGAAAAGCTGCCTCTGGAGGTCGTCTTCGTTCTCCGCCATAATTGTGGCGTTGTCGGCATAACATATCATGCTGATTCTCTTGTTGTTATTTCTGTACCCTAGGTTCAGGGATGTCACTGGTTCTATAATTGTATCCATGAGGATATTGAACAGAGACGGACTGAGGCTATTCCCCTGTCTGATTCCTCCTAGTATTGGAATGATATTTGATATTTGGTTTCGTGATTTTACTTTTGTTGTGTTGTGACTATTTAGATTGTAAATTACTTTTATAATGTTTGCTGGTGTATTCCTTTCTGTTAAGCTCTTGATGATGTCGGATAGACGCACCCTATCAAACGCCTTGGTCAGATCTATGAAGCACATATAGGCCGGTGTGTTGAATTCTATAGCCTTTTCCTTTACTTGTTTGACAMTGAATATAGCGTCTGTTGTTGATCTGTTCTTCCTAAACCCTTGTTGTTCTTCGCGGTTTTCTATGTGTTCTTCTAGCTTGTTCTTCAATATTCCTRTAAATAGTTTTATTGTAGTACATAGTATTGTGATTCYTCTGTAATTGTCTGGGCATGAAGGCAATCCTGAGGTATTTGTGCTGTGCGCAGAATATTGTTAAACAGTAGGCATAGTTGCCTCGTAAGTTCCTGTCCGCTATGTTTAAGAAGCTTGTTAGGTGTATTGTCTGGTCCCGCAGCTTTCTTGTTTTTCAGTTTCTTCAATCGAAGTTCTACTTCCGATTCGTCGATCGTAGCGTTAGATACAGTTTCGGGTTCTTCCAAATTTACTGTTTCTTCAAATTTGTAAAGCTGCCTGAAGTATTCCTCCCAGGTTTCCATAGACACTCCTTTGGATTGTGCATACTCATTCACTGGCTTTTTCCTGTTTTTGAGCAGTTTCCATACATTTCTCTGTGCGCCATACATATCGTATTCCATGTCGGCAGTAAACTTAATCCAATATT